CATGATAATCTCTATAAATGCAGAGAAAGCATTTGACAATATCCAACACCCTTTATGATGAAAGCTCTGGAGAAACTAAAAATCCATGGAATTATCCTAAATATAACAAAGGCCATATATGACAAACCCACAGCCAACATTATACTTAATGGTGAAAAGTTGAAACCATTTCCTCCTAAATCAGGAATGAGAACAGGATGTCCACTCTCTCCACTCTTCTTCAATATTGTACTGGAATCCTTAGCCAGAGCAATAGGCAAGAGACAAACATAAAAGGGATCCAAACAGGATAAGAAGAAGTAAAACTCTCTCTCTTTGCCGATAACATGATCTTGTACTTAAAGAACCCCACAGACGCTGGGTGCTGGTGGCTCAAGCCTGTAATACTAAATATTCAGGTGGCTTAGATCTGAGGAACATGAATCTTAGCTGCCTGGCCAGGAAAGTCCTAAGACTCTTATCTCCAATTAACCACCAGAAAACTGAAACTGGAGCTGCTCAAGTGGTAGAGGGCTAGCCTTGAGCTGAAGAGCTTAGGGACAGCCCCTAAACCCAGATTTCAAGCCCCACGACCAACGAAAGTAAAAAAATAAAAATAAAAAAACCCATAGACTCTTCTCTCAAATTACTTGAGCCATTCTGAAACTTTGGCAAATTAGCAGGGTAAAAATTAACCCACAAAAATCAGTAACTTTTCTTATTAAAAAAATTATTGTAAAGATGCTGTACAAAGGGGTTACAGATACATGAGTAAGGAAGAGAAAGCTCACTACCGAACACATTCTATGAAGCCATCATAACCCTCATCCCAAAACCAGGCAGGGACTCATCAAAGAAAGAGAACTATAGACCCATTTCTTTGATGAACATTGATGCAAAACTTCTCAACAAAATTTTGGCCAACCGACTTCAACAATTCATCCAAAACATCATACACCACGATCAAACAGGATTCATTTCAGGGATGCAAAGCTGGTTTAATATACGCAAATCAATTAATATTATTCATCACATCAACACGAGCAAGAATAAGAACCACATGGTTATCTCAATAGATGCAGAAAAAGCATTCGACAAGATCCAACACCCCTTTATGATGAAGGTTTTGGAAAAATTAGGAATCCATGGAACATTCCTCAATACAATAAAGGCTGTATATGACAAACCTACAGCCAGCATTATACTCAATGGTGAAAAACTAAAGCCATTTCCTCTTAACTCAGGAACAAGACAAGGATGCCCACTCTCTCCACTTCTCTTCAATCTAGTATTAGAATGCCTAGCTACAGCAATAAGACAAGATGCAGACATAAAGGGGATCCAAATAGGGAAAGAAGAAATAAAATTCTCCCTCTTTGCAGATGACATGATCTTGTATTTAAAGAATCCCATAGACTCCACTCCCAAATTACTCAAACTGATTCAAAACTTTGGCAAAGTAGCAGGTTATAAAATTAACCCCCCAAAATCAATGGCTTTTCTGTATGCCAACAATGAGAAAAGTGTGGCTGAAATTAGGAAAGCAACCCCATTTGTAATAGCCCCACAAAATCAACACAGAACTTAAAAAATGGCAAAACCTCCCATGTTCCTGGATTGGAAAGTTTAACATTGTGAAAATGGCAATACTTCCCAAGGCTATCTACAAATTCAACGCAATACCTATCAAAATTCCACCCTCATTCTTCAAGGAAATAGAAGAGGCAATCCAAAAATTCATATGGAACAATAAAAGACCCCGAATAGCAAAAACGCTCCTCAACGGAAAGAACACTGCTGGAGGAATATCAATACCAAATTTCAAACTCTACTATAAAGCCATAGTAATCAAAACAGCGTGGTATTGGCATAAGAACAGACCTCAGGACCAATCGAATAGAATTGAAAACCCAGAAATGAACCTACAGACCTATAGCCATCTAATCTTCGATAAGGGAGCTAAAACAATAGAATGGAAGAAAGACAGCCTCTTCAGTAAATGGTGTTGGCAAAATTGGTCAACTACATGTAGAAAACTAAAGCTAGATCCTTATATATCACCCTGCACCAGAATCAACTCCAAATGGATCAAAGACCTTGAAGTCAAAGCAGACACTCTGAAAACATTACAGGATGGAATAGGAGAAACCCTAGGTCTCCTTGGCTCAGGCCGAAATTTTCTGAATAGAGACCTGGAAACACAACAAATCAAAGAAAGGTTGGACAAATGGGATTGCATAAAGTTGCAGAGCTTCTGCAGGGCAAATGACATAGCTAGCAAGATCAATAGAAAACCCACGGATTGGGAGAAGATCTTTACTAGCTATACAACGGACAAGGGTCTCATATCTAAAATATACTTGGAACTCAAAAAATTAAATCTCCCAACAACAAATCCTCAAAGAAACAACTGCCCAATAAATAGTGGGCGAAAGACTTAAAGAGAAACTTCTCTGAAGAAGAAAGAAGGATGGCCAATAGACACATGAAGAAATGTTCAACATCCCTAGCCATAAAAGAAATGCAAATCAAAACAACATTGAGATATCACCTCACTCCAGTTAGAATGGCAAAAATCAAGAACTCTAACAACAACAGATGCTGGAGGGGATGTGGACAGAAGGGAACCTTACTTCATTGTTGGTGGGAGTGTAAACTTGTTCAACCACTTTGGAAAGTAGTATGGAGGTTTCTCAAAAGACTTCACATAGAACTCCCCTATGACCCAGCAATCCCACTTTTGGGCATTTACCCTAATGTTTACAAAAAAGACCACACTAAAGCTACCAGCACAACAATGTTTATTGCAGCATTATTTACCATAGCTAAGATATGGAACCAACCCAGATGCCCCGCAGTAGACGAATGGATCAAGAAAATATGGTATATATACACAATGGAATTCTATGCCTCCATCAGAAAGAATGACATTGCCCCATTTGTTAGGATATGGAAAGGCTTGGAAAAAATTATATTAAGTGAAGTAAGCCAGGCCCAAAGAAACATAGGTCCCATGGTTTCCCTTATATGCAATATCTAGTATATGTATGAGTCAAGCGGAAAAGGTCAGATAATGTGATGTTAGGAATACGATCCCTTAAATATGTATTTTAATGTTTTTTTTTCATGCATGTGTTTCTAACGCACTTATAAGATTATTTCTTTGTTGCTTTGTATGTCCCTCCCCCACAGTGTAACCCCTGCTTTCACTATATTTGATGTCAGTATAACTTGTGGAGGAGATGGGGACAAACAAGTCGTTTAAGGATTCAGGTGGACCTTTTGCAACAATGAGAAGTACAAAATGTCATGTCAATAACGAGCTTTACAATGTCGGTATGTTGGGGGCGAAGGATTGGGTGGGGGGTAAGGGGGAGGCTGGGAAGGGAGGTGAAGGGTAAACAAAGGAGGAGGCTGCAATGCTTGGTAAGGAATGTATGCATTATCCTGCCCATGTAATTGTAACCCCTCTGTACAGTATGCTCTCAAATAAAATAAAATAAAATTAAAAAAAAAAAAAAAGAGTTCCAAACGCTCCCTGAAAAAAAAAAAAAAAAAAAAGAAATGTACTCATTATCTTGCCTATGTAATTGTAACCCCTCTGTGCAGTATTTTCACAATAAAAAATAAATAAAAATTAAAAAAAACTGGGAGAGGGCAAAGGAAATGGTGACATTGTCCAAAAAGAAATGCACTGTATCTGACTTGTGTAACTACACCCTCTCTGTACTTTTCAACAACAATGCATTTTTTTAGAAAAGAATTTGTTTATTGGATTTGAGGTACATGAAAGGCAATAGAACTATCTCAAGTCAGGAAAAATCTAAGTAAGTACCCTGTGTTCCTAGATGCCCTGAGTTGTATATCAAAAATTATAACCAAGTGTCATGCAGCAACACACGTTCTAAATTTCTTAATAATCTGCCTTGTCTCTTTTTCTGTACTGATTTATCCTTTCTTGGGATAAAGAAAAAAATCTTTATTTCCATTACTCTAAAAGAAAATAGGATAATAGACATCATCTAGCAAGAATGATAGCCCATCCATTTGCTTGGCTGGAAGATGAAGGTATTTTCCAAGCTATTTTTGAATTTATCTGTATTGAAATGAAGTGGTCTAGTCTATCAAATATAATCAAGCTAGCAGAAAATGGATTAAGTGCTTGAAAACTTTTCATGGCAAATAATCTAGGTGCAAGATAATCTAGGTTTTATGGGTCATCACTTTACTTTTGTACATGTTAGAATAAAAGTTTCTAATGCTTCATTTTATTTTTCCCACTATCCAAACTAGTACAATGGCATAAGTGTGACCTTTACAATTTCATAAGGTCTCATATTTAGAAAAACACTGTACCTTGTTTAATAACTTTCTGTTCTAATTTTGAAATTCTTAATCATATTATGTTTGAACTGTGCTTATGTGAGTTCTGAAGGGACAACTGAGCATACGTATGAGCAGAGGAGATGAGTCTAATGTGTGTGTCTACCAAACCTTGATATCCCATTCACAGTTAGTGCTTTATAATGTCTCATGAACACATAATTTTGGTGAATCCATAATGCACAGGAATTAAAAAGCCTCGAGGCATATATTAAGATAAATGAGTTATGACTATACATACATGGCAATATTGTCAGCCTATATTTTCCTTTCCTGCTTGCACTAAGCACAAGAAGGTAGTGATTTTATTTTTTAAAAAAGACAAATTTGAAAAGAGTCCTACAAATTAACTGAAAGAGTACTGAAAATAACATATAGGAGAATAGGTGTATCTAAAAAATATAGATTAAAAGGAAAATATGGGAAGACACTATCTAACATTATGCCATTTTGAGAATCCCCTACACTTTTTGTGTGCATTCTCCCATACATTTAAAATTATTTCCAGATGTAGATTACAGTCTTTTTAGTTTCCCTTTCCTGAGACTAGTAAATTAATGTTGTATACAACAGAGCATAGTATCTGTAAGTCAAAGGTATTTTGAAGTGCTAACCCTGTGCCAAAGGGAATGCAGTAGAAAAATATTGAATGCTTTTACGAATTTGTGTATTTTCCTTGTTCTGTGATCATATTAATTTTCTTTGTATTATTCCAATTGCACAATATGTGCTGTGGTAGTAAGCACAATTTCTATTTTTAAAAAAATGTATTTCCCATTGTTACAATTTGTTTTCATTACTTGTTATAAATGCTTACCCTATATTAATTCTTACTGAAACTAGAGTTTAATACATAAATATTCACTGTACTTAGATAATGCTCTTGCACAAATATAAGACTGTAGAAACTGAAGCATCAAAACGAAATTTAGATAAGAATTATGTTCATTCAAAGAGATTAGAGACTGTTCAAAGAGTAGTGTACTCAATTCCTGACATGTAACTGGAACCCCACTGAACTTCATCTTCACAACAAAAGTAAAGAAAAATAAATTTAAAAAAAGAAAATTAGAAAAAATATGAAGTGTCATTATGAGGAAATAACTTTGTTACATAACAAAAATTTCACTGATAAAATAACAAAACACACCTGGTATGCACTCAAGCCTGTAATCTAGCTATTGAAGAAGCTAAGTTAACCTGGCCAGGAATGTCCTAAGACTCATATCTTCAATTAACTACCAAAAAACTAGAAGGGCATCTGTGGGTCAGTGGTAGAATGCTATCCTTGAGCATAAAATCTCTGGTACAGCAGAGAGGCCCTGAGTTCAAGCCCCAGCACTAGTACCAAAAATGATGATAAAACCTTAACATGGGTTGAGGAGTCTCTAAGGAACTAGAATTTATGACTGCATCTCCAAGGAAATTGATAAAAAGCCACAAGACTCCAAGGTTTCCTAGCTCTAATATGGTAAAGGAAAGAAATATACTTTGAATGGTAACCCCTTTATACAACCACTTATATAATAAAAATATGAAAACATGATAGATATTTATGCACTGAAAATCTAATTTAAAGAGGTTTCATTATTTTATTTCATAAATGTATGTAAAATACTTTCAACAAATTTTGCCTCCTCCATTCACTCCTCCCTTTCATTCTACCTCCTCATATTTTTGTCAACCTCCATACTACTTTCCAAAGTGGTTGAACAAGTTTACACTCCCACCAACAATGCAGTAAGGTTCCCTTCTGTCCACATCCCCTCCAGCATCTATTGTTATTCTAGTTCTTGATTATAGCCATTCTAACTGGGGTGAGGTGGTATCTCAATGTTCTTTTGATTTGCATTTCTTTTATGGCTAGGGAAGTTGAGCATTTCTTCATGTGTCTATTGGACATCCTTCTTTCCTCTTCAGAAAAGTTTCTCTGTAAGTCTTTAGCCCACTTATTTATTGGGCAGTTGTTTCTTTGAGGATTTGTTGTTGGGGGATTTAATTTTTTGAGTTCCAGGTATATTTTAGATATGAGAAACTTGTCAGTTGTATGGCTAGTGAAGATCTTCTCCCAATCCGTGGGCTTTCTATTGATCTTGCTAGCTATGTCCTTTGCCATGCAGAACCTCTGCAATTTCATGCAATCCCATTTGTCTAACTTTTCTTTGATTTGTTGTGTTTCTGGGTCTTTATTAAGAAAATTTCAGCCTGTACCAAGGATACCTAGGGTTTTGCCTATTCTATCCTGTAATGTTTTCAGTGTCTGCTTTGACTCAGAGGTCTTTGATCAATTTGGAGTTGATTCTGGTGCAGGGTGATATATAAGGATCTGGCTTCAGTTTTCTACAAGTGATTAACAAATTTTGCCAGCACCATTTACTGAAGAGGTTGTCTTTCCTCCATTCAATTTTTTTAGCTCCCTTATAGAAGATTAGATGGCTATAGGTCTGTAGGTTCATTTCTGGGATTTCAATTCTGTTCCATTGGTCCTGAGGTCTGTTCTTGTGCCAGTACCAAGCTGTTTTGATTACTATGGCTTTGTAGTAGAGTTTGAAATTTGGTATTGATATTCCTCCAGCACTGTTCTTTCTGTTAAGGATTGTTTTTGCTATTCGGGGTCTTTTATTTTTCCATATAAATTTTTGGATTGTGATTTATGCTGATGCTGTAGATTTATTGTACTAAGACTACAAATAGAAAGTTGTGTCAATAGCAGTGGTGGTGATAGTAAATATTTTATTTCTTTGTTTATTTGCTTGTCTGTTTGTTTGTTTGCCAGTCCTGGGGCTTGAACTCAGGGCCTGGGTTCTGTCTCTGACTGAGCTTGTTTTACTGCGGGCTAGCACCCTATCCCTTGAGTCACAGCCCCACTTCTGGCCTTTTCTGAATAATGTATTGGAGATTTGAATTTTGCATACCGTACTTTCCTGCCCACGCTGCCTTTGAACTGCGATCCTTAGATCTCAGCCCCCTGAGTAGCTAGGATTATAGGCATGAGCTACCGGCATCGGTGCAAATATTCTTCTTATTCCCAAATCAGTAAGATGTTTTATCTGTGGCTTATTGGGCATTTTCAATCAGATTAAGGGAAATTCCTTCTATATTTTGATTTGCTAAAGATATAAGTGTATTGCTTATTTATTCATCTATCAAAATAATCATGTTCTTTGCTCATCTTGTTCCTATAAATTAGGTATATAACACTGGATGATTTAAAAATTAGACCAATTTTAAACTTCTGGCTTTATCCATGAATCACCATTCTGTGTTGTTCAATTTATACACCATTAGTGATCATTTGTTAGTGTTCTGAAAAAGATAATTTCATCTATAATATTTAATGACATTGGTCTGTAATTTTTAGTAAAATTCCTGAAATTCCAAGGTTGTTCTGGTACTTTTAAAAAAAAGAGTTGTGGCTGGTGCATCTCATGCTTATAAAATTTAGCTACTCAGGAGGCTGAGATCTGAGGATCACAGTTAAAAGTTAGCCAGGACAGGAAAGTCCTGGTGAGACTCTTTATCTCCAATGAACCACTAAAAAAACCAGAAAGGGATATGTGGCTCAAAGTGATAGAGCATTAGTCTTCAGCAAAAGAGCTCAGGAGCAGCTCCCAGGCCCTGAGTTCAAACCACATGAACCAAAACAAAACAAGCAACATAAAAAAAAAAAAACGGAACAGGTCTAGGAAGATGGCTCAGTGGTAGAGTGCTTGTCTTGTATGCATGAGGCCCTGGGTTCGATTCCTCAGCACCACATGAGCAGAAAAACCGGAAGTGGCACTGTGGCTCAAGTGGTAGAGCACTAGCCTTGAGCTGAGGGACATTGCCCAGGCCCCATGACTGACTGAAAAACAACAACAACAACAGAACAGAGTTGTGGCTAGGCAATGGCAGTACTCCTAGCTACTCAGAAAGCTGAGATCTGAGGATTACAGTTTGAAACCAGGCCAGGCAGACAAATTCCTGAGGCTCCTATCTCCAACTAACCAACCAAAATCCAGAAGTAGATCTGTGGCTGAGGTGATGGGACATTAGCTTTGAGTAAAAATGCCAAGTGAGAGTACAAGGCTATAAATTCAAATCTAGTATTGGCATACAAAAGAAGTTACATTTTTTTCTTTTTTCTTTTCTGGAAGAGTTTTTGCAATATTGAATCTGAATCTTCTCCATATGTTCTAAACTAGCCATTGATGCCATTTTTTGCCTCAGATTTCCTTTAAGAAACTTTTAATAATGTGATTTTTAAATCAAATTCAGAAAGTTTTTTCTTTGAATAAATTTGATATATATGAATCTGTTACTTATAATTTGTTTAAATAGTATTCTCATAATATATGATTCAGTTTCGTATTACCATAGCATTAATATTTCAATAATTTGAGAAATTATAAATTCTACTACTAGTTCATAAGTCAACTAATTACTATACAAATATCATCCTCAATCATGACAGGTATACAATCACACTTCTTTTTCAAAGTTATATGCAGAAAATGTTAGAGAATATCTGTAGCTCAGTTAACACATGAAAACAAACCTTGTATCTATTTTGTCATTTCAGGTAGAAAAACAATAAAAAATTTTGTAAAAGATAGTCATTGATACATAGCCTTAACAAATTTAGACAAAAGTACTGCAAATTAAACAGGGTTTGATGAAAAGACCTGAATATGAAAATACTTAAATATATATTAAGTTGTGTTATAAGCCCTAATGTTAGAGTATAATGATTATTCATCTATGAGGGCAAAGGTGAAATGGTGAGCATCTGCCTAACAAGCATAAAGCCCTGAGTTCAAACCCCAGTAGCTCATAAAAAGTTTCAATCAGCCATTCACTTAATGGTGAATTCATATATACAATAGATAAGAAACTGAAAAGACTAAACACCAAAAAAAGGTCTAATTTTTAAAAATGGGCTAAAATTCAATGCCCTGCATTTTCTACATACACTTTTCTAATTCTGAGAGAGGAAGTAAAAAAAAAACAAAATGCTTAAATAGGGATACAGATTGACCCATTGTAACAATGAAATGTACAAGACACTATGTTGAAAACAAACTTTACAACTTTGGTTGGAGGGGGTATTTGTGGCGGTGGGAGGGAAGGGATCGTAGGGGAAAAACAAAGGAGGAGGCAACAATGCTCCATAGGAAATGTATTCATTACCTTGCTCATGTAACTGTAACCCCTCTGTACAGTACTTTTACAATTAAAAAATCATAAAAAATATCGAAGTTGACAATTTCAAAGAAAGTATTCAAATAGCCAAGAATGACATGAGAAAATAATCTCATGAACCATCAGGGGACAAAGATGAGATTGACTATGTAACTCAGCGTTAGAAATGGGAGGGAGAGAACGGATGAATGAGGGAACAGATGACACTCTATGAAAGGAAATGTACTGATTACCTGACACATGTAAATGTAACCCCACTGTATATCACCTCTATAATAACAATAAAATAAAAATTTTAAGACAAAAACTCATTAATCACAGAGATAAAAATATTTCATGGGGCTGGAAAGGTGGCTCAGTGGTAGAGCACTTGCCTTGCATGCTTAAGGCCCTGGGTTCAATTCCTCAGCACCACATAAGAAAAAAGCTGGAAGTGGCGCTGTGGCTCAAGTGGTAGAGTGCTAGCCTTGAGCTGAAGAGCTGAGGGACAGCGCCCATGCCCAGAGTTCAGGCCCCACGACCGGACCCCCAAAAAAAAAATATTTCACCCTCATACTCAGAGTTG